CCCCCCCCCTCGCTCCATCTCTCTCCCTCTCACACAAAGGTGAGCTGCTCCCGCTGGCGCGCGCGGCGACGTTCGGGCGGTGTTTGTTCTTACAATTTTCAGCCCGCCACTAAAAAGAAAAGGGCGCTCTCTCACACACACACGCTCACGTACACACACGCGTCGATGTCTGCAGACACGTGGCAACGGCTAGGGACTTAATAGACCTAAGTGGTTTACCTTTCTTCCCTCGTTTCTTCCAACCAAAATAAAAGGCAGTTTGTTTTTCAACCCCCAATTCTCTCCTCTTCTGTTCCAGACAAATCTTCCCGCAGATGAAGTTCAGACTGACCGGCCTGGACCCCAAGTCAAAGTACATCCTCCTCCTCGACATCGTCGCCAAAGACGACTACCGGTACAAGTTCCACAACAGGTAAGCACCCCCGCAGGCCTGCTGCAGAGCACACAGCTGCTCATCAAAATATTCAATTTCATCATAATTGCGCGGACTGACAGTGATGGGTGGTGGGTGGTTTAGCGGGAAGCTATCCATCTCCTTTGATAATCAGACCGCCCGCCCAGGCCAGGCCGACAGAACCTAACTCGACCGGATGTTGCTTTTGCAGTCGGTGGCTCGTCGCTGGCAAGGCGGACCCGGAAATGCCCAAACGCATGTACATCCACCCGGACTCGCCGTGCACGGGCGAGACGTGGATGCAGAAGCTCGTCAGCTTCCACAAGCTCAAGCTCACCAATAACATCTCCGATAAGCACGGATTTGTAAGTACCGGGGTTGTAAGTATCGCGATTTTACACCAATCGCGGAGCTTACCACTGTCGGGGGAGGATTTGTAAAGATTTTCTTCATATTTTTTCTGATTATTATTTTCTTTTCTTAAACTTAAAACATAGATATTTCACTGAAGTCATTCAATCCCCCACTATTAAAAATGATAATTTTTTTATGACGATTTCCCTGACAGTGTACGCAAAGCGAGAATACCTAATCTAATGTAACACTCCAGCTGCGTTAAATCCCCGTCCCCTCCATTGCAGTAGTGAGTAGTCGTAAGAAAGAGAAAGGGAGAAATCCCTCGCGAAAACGTGCCCGGGGTTCGCGTACGGCTTAAAACTCGAGGAGCAGCTAATGACGAGATCGGGTCATAAAAGCGACGTATGAAAACTCTTTTCTCTCTCTCTCTGTTTCTCCTCGCGTTCTCGCCTCGTCTCTCTATCCCACCTACTTCTGCGCTGCGCCCAGCTTGCTGCACGCGAGACGGTGCTAATGCCTTTGTCGCTCTGAATCGACTTGTAACGAGTGGGGACAGACCACTCCCCGGTAGCGGTAGAAGATCTTTCTCTGTCTCTCTCAATGTCTCTCTGTCTCTCTCTCTCTGCGAGTGGCGCCTCGCCTGGGAGACGACGCCGGCACCCTCATACAGCTGCCGTGTGTGTTTGCACTCGACCAGCTCCTCGGCGCCAAACCTCGGGAAGGCGTCGTCGTAACCGTATCTGGACACGGACTGAGTGAGAGAGACGGCTGCGTTGAAGGGAGACTGAGAGAGACAGATGCAATAGAGGGGGGGGGGGCGCCATTCAGGCGCGTTAAATGCGTTGCCTACCTCTGCGGGGCTGCCCGGGTAGTTACGTGCGTTTGACTTGAACCCCCCCCCCCCTAAACCTTCGCGTGCGTGCGTGTCCGACCGTCTCGCGTCAATTCACTTGCTGCCCTTCTAGAGGGCCGCGTTCGAAAGACAACCGTGTGGGAGAGAAAGGGTGAGAGAGCGTGTTGTGTCGTCTGCTGGGTGTTGCGGATGCAGCGTAGCTTTAGGACGCGACACACACACGGAATCGGCCGGCGGCGGCGGCGTCGGGAAGCTCAGTGAACCGATTCAAAAACAAAACTTGGAAATAAGGAGAATAAAAGAGAGGACAAAGGGGGAAGAGAGGGAAGGGGGGGGGGGGGGGGTGCTGGCTCCCTTTCACCTCCCGCACCTGCCCTGTCTCGGGGAATATGCGAAGGGACACTGTGCATTTCGTACACCAGAAACGTGATCATTGTGGAACTCGATCCCTCCTTCCCCCTTCGCGCACTATACAGACGACCATCAACGGGAAAAATTAAAAGCCGAAAGCAGAGGGAAGGAGAGAGGGAGATGGTTAGATAAAATGTGTTAGCAGGAGAGAGAGACAAGAGAGGGTGAGAGGCCAGCAGCAGCGGACTGGAGAGGAGGTGGGTGGAGCGGAGGAGGCCAGAGGGCCAGAGGCCACAACACGAACAAAAGCTGTCGATTGTTGGGAGCTATACGCACGGTGGATTATTTTACCGGAGGAGACGACGCCCCTCGGGGGGAACAGGTTATGTGGCGTCGATTTGTAAGATCGTGCACGCTCGGGCGACTTCTTATCCGGGGCTGCCCATCTGCCCCCTGCGCCTAAAGCTCACACTTCTCCTCTCCTCGTCCCTGCGCGCGAGGGAAAAATATGACAGCGAGGGAAAAGGGCGCGCTAGGGGCCGCGGGGCGCCAGCAGCAGCAGCGGGTAGGCGCGGCTCTGGCGCCCCGGCTATGGCGCTGCTGGCCGGCGGGGCGGGTCACGCATAGACACGGTTCCGCCGAACTGGTGGAGAGGGCGTGCCAAGCGCGGGGAAAGATATGAACAGCTGAAAAAAAAAAATTGAGTGTGTTTAG